TATATATTATATATTATATATGTTATACATATATATTATATATTATACATATATAATATATATATATGTATATTGATTATATATATATTACATATAATATGTATATGTATATTATATTGATTATATATATTATATATATAATATATATATGTATATTATATTGATTATATATATTATATTGTATTGATTAAATTTCATCTATAGTATACTAGAGCTTCGTTTTTATCCATTATGATAATGCCGACAACTAGTACTAGAATTTACATGCTTTCTACACGCCGAGTGATTTTTATTAAGTAATTGAGATGATTGCTTTTGAAAGTTGAATGGGTATGAATCACATATTAGTATATACTAGAGTTTAGATAGAATAGTGCATGATTAAATTTTAGCACAGAGATCACTTGCGTCTCTCTCTTTTTTTTTTTGTAGTTTAACTGTTGTAACCTTTAACTGTTACGTTAATCTTTCGTTTCCTCCTCACAGTAGATATTTCAATTTTTCACAATTTCACGTACAATAGTGTAGAATGGAAATCGACTTGTGACGTTGAACAGAGGTTGTTAAGCACCTTGGGTAAAAGTAACGGTTGCTCTGTAAAATAGAGCAAGAAGGAGAATACTTTTTATCACTTTTCAAAAACATTATCAGCCAGATCATGTTCGTCATTCTGCTGAGAACGATTTCTTTCATTTTCAAATTTTCAGGACAATCATATCGATTACATCATGGTGGTCAGTCACATCGTCCGATTTCATTACGTAATCAGTAGTTTGATAAAAGTAACAAGATTCTTGTACTTTCGACGAAATGAATAATTATCCGTATCGTCAGAGCGGAAGCGACAAATTTGTGGCACTGTCAACGTAAGACACAAGCGGGAGTCCTGGTTCACTGACAATGATGTAAAAACACCGAGCAAAAAAAAAAAAAAAAAAAAAGGAAAAGAAAACAACACCAATTCTATGCAAAAGTCGAAATGAAGTGTGTGTCACGGCTCCTATGTGTAGCGTTACATTCAGGAAAAAAGTACAAATTCCAAGTTACATACAGCTGCCCTGTAATCCATCCCTCACGCGAGACGCGAATTAATTTATCGAAGAACTTCTTTCTTTTTCGTTCGTGCTGTTTAAGAATGGCTGAACAGAACGACAGTATACAACAAGCACATCATCAATCAGGCATTAGAGAAGCGACCGAGAAATGTCCCGCTCATCACCGTGTCAAATCATCACAGTTGCTTCGACGATCCTGGCATATGGGGTAAGAAGTTCTCTTCAGTATGATTCAACAATTGCACCATCGGCCCATTGTCCGTGCTGAACATTGGACGATGTTTCATCGATATTTATCTCCTATCTTCATTCTTCGTTGGCAAACATTTTATTCCAAGTATCGATTGACAAGCCTCTGTCGTGACAATAAAACAATAGTTGAACAATATGTATTCTTTTTTTTTTTCTTTCTTTCTTTTCAGATTTCTAAGTATGTTTTACTAATAAAAGTAAATGATGTTTCGTTCTTTTACATTGTTCACATTTACACGAATCGAGAAAGAACGAGTCGAATTGACATACACGTGGACTTCTTGAACAATCACTTCGATTTTACATAAATATTAACATTGTTTTATTTATTCATACGTTGGTCGACCTGGCTAAATGTTTCAATTCAGTGTAACAATTTCGACAGATTGATGATATCTTAGAAAGAACGCAACAACGTATGTTGTAAAGCTTCGTGTTTATCTGTTTCATTTATTTCCATCACGTCAACGATCCTCTCTATTGTTTAAATAAATCCACACGTACACACGTACACACGCATACCTCATACGCAACATACGCGCGCATTCCCCTTTCTCCTGAAACATATATAATCTTTTCTTCCTCAGAATGACCATCGATAAGCGATCGAATGAAAAAATTTAAGACAGAAAAATCTCTGAACTCATTTAGCGACCCTGAACCTGAAGAGTCTGATGAATCGACGTAAGATGAGGTGGTCGCTCGCGGCCCACGACATTTGTTTCACAAACACCTGGCACTCGTACTTCTTTATGCTGGGCAAATGCATTCCCGTGATCAGAGGTGCCGGTGTGTATCAGGAAGCTATGGATTTCTGCATCGAAAAGTTGGCAGCTGGTGATTGGGTTCACGTTTTTCCCGAGGGAAAAGTAA